TATAAGTGTCTCTGATACACATACAAAGACTAGAAAAACAGAATGGTGTAAATAGAAGCTATAAGTGTCTCTGATACATAAACAAAGACTAGAAAAACCGAATGGTGTAAATAGAAGCTATAAGTGTCTCTGATACACATACAAAGACTAGAAAATCAGAATGGTGTTAATAGAAGTTGTTAGTTTCTCATATAAAGACTCGAAAATCAGAATGGTGTAAATAGAAGCTATAAGTGTCTCTGATACACATACACATACTAGCAAATCAGAATGGTGTAAATAGAAGCTATAAGTGTCTCTGATACACATACACATACTAGCAAATCAGAATGGTGTAAATAGAAGCTATAAGTGTCTCTGATACACAAACACATACTAGCAAATCAGAATGGTGTAAATAGAAGCTATAAGTGTCTCTGATACACATACAAAGACTAGAAAAACAGAATGGTGTAAATAGAAGCTATAAGTGTCTCTGATACACATACAAAGACTAGAAAAACAGAATGTTGTAAATAGAAGCTATAAGTGTCTCTGATACACATACAAAGACTAGAAAAACAGAATGGTGTAAATAGAAGCTATAAGTGTCTCTGATACATAAACAAAGACTAGAAAAACCGAATGGTGTAAATAGAAGCTATAAGTGTCTCTGATACATATACAAAGACTAGAAAATCAGAATGGTGTAAATAGAAGCTATAAGTGTCTCTGATACATATACAAAGACTAGAAAAACCGAATGGTGTAAATAGAAGCTATAAGTGTCTCTGATACATATACAAAGACTAGAAAAACCGAATGGTGTAAATAGAAGCTATAAGTGTCTCTGATACATATACAAAGACTAGAAAATCAGAATGGTGTTAATAGAAGTTGTTAGTTTCTCATATAAAGACTCGAAAATCAGAATGGTGTAAATAGAAGCTATAAGTGTCTCTGATACACATACACATACTAGAAAATCAGAATAGCGTAAATAGAAGCTATAAGTGTCTCTGATACACATACACATACTAGAAAATCAGAATGGTGTAAATAGAAGCTATAAGTGTCTCTGATACACATACAAAGATTAGCAAATCAGAATTGTGTAAATAGAAGCTATAAGTGTCTCTGATACACATACAAAGAATGGAAAATCAGAATGGTGTAAATAGAAGCTATAAGTGTATCTGATACACATACAAAGAATGGAAATCCCTTTAAAACTCGCATCTCAATAACAAGTTTATTATTTACCTGTTGATGTTTATAATACTCGGTTTTATATCGTGGAACACCATCTTCCTGAATCACAGAATAAACAGGTAGATTGATATTAATATCATTATTTCTGGTTAGAAGAAGATGATGAGGTCGGGGATGTTGTTCGTCCAATGTGAAACCTATTTCATTTGGAAGCTGACATCTTCTTGACTCCGAGTTCTGGTGAATACGTACATAAACTTCCTTTTCTGCAAAAAGAAACGAACAATTGACTAAAAGAAATAACTAGAAGAAAAGGAAACGGATGAAGGAATAAAAGTATTAAATAAAAAATATATCATTATCGAATAAAAAAAAGTGAAAAAAAAATTATGCTAGAAAATATCGGTTCTTCCGTGATTGACAAAGGACGACATTGTTTCGTTTACACCGGAAATGGTATGAAGATTCTATCTGTCATTAGAAATGTTATATGGTTTCTAAGAATCCCTGACTAAAACACTTTTTGTTATGTCATGTTAGTCAAAATACGGACTCTGAAAAGCAGTTTTGACAGAATATCAGTCCATGAGTTCCCTAAATTTGCAACAATAAATGTACCCTTTCAATTTCGATTCCATAATTCCTTTACGATAACCAACCAAGCAAGGTGTACGTCTAAATCAAAACTAATCAGAAGAGACTGAATTTATCTTTGTCCACTGTAGTACTGAAGGCTTGTCAAGGTTTGGATTCATACAATGTAGCTTAGATAAAACAACATTGCTTTTGGTAGCCTTGAAATTTTGGCTCTCAATATCTAGTTGGTAGGAGCTATTGATGTTTTCAAAAAAGCGTTCTTTATTACTTAAATCAGGCATTAAACTGTGCATGAAAACGATAAAAAGTTTACAGAATAGTGGGATAAGTATATGGTTTGCCGACACATCTCTTCTTCTGTTGATAATCGACAATTATTCTGGATAGATTCTCTCATACAAACTAGAACAAAATCCAATAATAAAAGGGAGAGAAATTCAGATGAATTCCACGTTAAGATAATCAGGAATCGACATGTTAAGGGAAGGAACTACAGGAATTCTTAGTGGTCTGAAAGATAGACAAGTTTAATATTGCTTGCTTTAGAATGACAATTTGTTTATTTATATATTTTTTTACTCGCAATTATAGATCATTCTAAAAAAATATCATGATAGATCAACTCAGTTCATGCTTTTACACGAACATTTTCCTTGAGTACATTACATTTTCTTTCGGTGGCTTTGATAATTAATGTAACAAGTTGCCTACATAATTATTGTTTTATCAGCTACATCTAAGTGAAGGGTTATATCTAATGGTATTTCGATAAATGTATACATGATTTAAATGCCTCTCGGATTATCTCAGAGACTTTGCTCTAGTATGATATGTTAGACATACATACATTCGTCTTCAACAATAGTAACAGTCCATCACAAAATGTTACTTGTCCTTACATTTTTACAAACTTATTCAACTGTTTTTTTCAATTAACTACATTCGTCATTCCTCCTTAAACTGTAGAATTGTGACCCAGTTGGCTAAAAATGTCGGAACCAAAAAGCAAGGGGGGGGGGGGGAGGGGTTCTTGAAAAAGAACAAGATTTATTTATTGTTTCGTTTCGTCATATGTAACAAAAACATTCCAACTTTTTATTGCAGTCTGTATCAGAAAAACGTGCTTTTCAATTCGCGAATATCAATTCTCAAAAGTCCTGGTGGGATGGCGGAGGTGGTCTGCCTTCAGCGGAAGATTCAAGACACCGCATCATCATACCTTTGCAAATATTAGAAACAAAATAACCCGAGTGTACTAGCATGATCACGCCCCTCGTGCTTCTAACACGAGAAATGTTGATTTGAATCGTGTCCCAACCGCGCCTAACGTTAACGAGTGTCGAACCATCAAGGTCTATTGATTGATACTGTAACCCGATCTGGTATTTGTATATCTTGGCATAGAAATAGATGCATTTAACATCAAGGTGTGGTTAATGTACGATGACAATATATTTCTGAAGGATTAAAGGGTTTTTTATTGACTAAGACACTTGACTGGACAGTTTACTTTGTTCTTTTTGTACCTTAAAAGTCAAGTAATCTTACACATTGTCATGCCCAACTACTGCGTAGTATATTGTGTTTTCTGTGGTCAGAATGCGACTATAGCATACCAAACTATCATGTCTAACTAGCTAGAAGATTGCTTGATACAATGACAGTTTTCTGTGGTCAGAATGCGACTAGAGAATACCAAACTATCGTGTCTAACTAGCTAGCAGATTGCTTGATACAATGGCAGTTTTCTGTGGTCAGAATGCGACTAGAGTATACCAACTATCGTGTCTAACTAGCTAGCAGATTGCTTGATACAATGACAGTTTTCTGTGGTCAGAATGCGACTAGAGTATACCAACTATCGTGTCTAACTAGCTAGCAGATTGCTTGATACAATGACAGTTTTCTGTGGTCAGAATGCGACTAGAGAATACCAAACTATCGTGTCTAACTAGCTAGCAGATTGCTTGATACAATGACAGTTTTCTGTGGTCAGAATGCGACTAGAGAATACCAAACTATCGTGTCTAACTAGCTAGCAGATTGCTTGATACAATGACAGTTTTCTGTGGTCAGAATGAGACTAGAGAATACCAACTATCGTGTCTAACTAGCTAGCAGATTGCTTGATACAATGACAGTTTTCTGTGGTCAGAATGAGACTAGAGTATACCAGACTATCATGTCTAACTTGCTAGAAGATTGCTTGATACAATGACAGTTTTCTGTGGTCAGAGTGAGACTAGAGTATACCAGACTATCATGTCTAACTTGCTAGTAGATTGTTTAAAGACAGTTTTCTGTGGCTCCCCATCAGATGTAATATGGTTTGAATTTTCAACTCTGAGTCTGGAAACACAATTTCTTCCATATTGACAGCCCCTCCCCTCCCCCATCTCAGATATTGTAAATTTGGAGATTATTTTGTGGGAGCTACTATCGAGTTACTATAATATATAATGTACCTCTTACAAAGAGATCGGCGAAGCGTAGCGAAGTGAACAGATTTAATTTAACCCTTCCAACTAATCGAGCTCATAATTTCAATGTAGGTTTATTTGAAGATAATCTATATTTTTTTAAACCCACTTTACAAAATTGTAAAATAACTTGACACATGGAATGTCTCGATTTAAAAACTAAATTAAGTTCGTATATAGCTATACTTTGATATCATAGGTACAGATTCGCCATTTACTAAGACTTGATTTGGTACTTGAATATAGGTAAATAGTCTTCAGAAATACTGGAACTGCACGAAAATCGCATAATTCCTTCAAAAATATCTCAAACTAGGAATTTCTATTTCTAAATGTCTTTTTTTATATATATATATATGACAGAGTCTCAAGAAAGGACGAGTCGTCATTGTAACTTTCAAACCCGAATGATTGTGGAAACACTTAGATTTTATATTTCTCCAAATTAGTCAAAAGGAAAAAATAATAGCTAATGTAAATATTGTGATATAAACGCCACACGAATTTGCATCAGTCCAATGGACAAAACAATAGCTAATGTAAATATCAATTGATATCTTCACTTAAACAACCCCGTTCTTACTTTCATTTTATTTTTTTTCTGCCTCCCGTGGGTGAAACATCTTTGTTTACAATATCTCACACCCGTATAGTCTCATTATATTTAAGCTCATTTCGACCTTGACTTTCTTTTATGAGAAATTTGTATGAAATAACCACTAAATGACCATTCAAATGACCAGTATTATAGTGGACAGTCATTCATGAAATATCCCATACAAATGGGATACATACTGATGTTCTATCTGACCGGTCCGACATTGTATTCTGACATCAAATTTGGGTATCAAAATAAATCTCTATTGAATTATCGTGGTAAAATCAGCGAGTCCACAACCTTGATGGGTATTTTATGTTGTTGATATGACTATTATTTTAAACTGATCTTAATAGCTTTGAAGGATCAAAAATATTATAAACATATACTTATAATAAACGTTATAATAATACAGCATTGGTCAATAATGAGTTCATTATCATAACGTTATATAATGAGTTAATTTTTAAATTAAATGAAAATTAAAGAAATTATTAATATTATGACAATCGAATATTATATCTTTTTGGCAATTTTATTGCATGACTATCTACTAATTATTTCAAACTAACTCAATGTTGATGTTAGAGTTGATTAGGTAGTTATGTTAATGATTGTTCAAGATACAGTGATAGACTCGTCACGTTCTAGTTATTCAATATAAAATAATGTATTATATTTCATGGATATAATTATAATATGTTATAATATAACTTAACTTTCCTAAACAACTTGTAACAGTGAAAAATATCAGAAAGTATTAAAAGCTAAGAAGTTTTGTTCTATAAACCTGTATCTAAGAGTGTTGTGTATTTTTCCCCGACCCCTCAGAATATATCAAGAAATGATTTAAAACACCTCTAAATACCATGGAATATCCATTTATAAGTAGTACAATACTACACGAGACTATATATGGTTCGTACTTGGAAATAACACACACGGACACATACTTTACAACAGTTTTGAATTTCTTCCTGGACTCAATAAGTAGTATGTCAATAAAGGATATAAAATTTCAACAAAGCCTTCACATTTAAAACCATTTCTAATCGTTTAAATGTAATTTGAAGGCTTGGTTGAAGTATTATATAAAAATCTCACTATTCAAAATGATTGTGTACGTTCGTGTGTTTTTTTCCACGTAAGAACTATTGCTGGCACGATATATCGGTGAATCGATGTATCGATATATACGACATGCCACGATACGCGTATCGTATGTCGAAGTCGTGTATCGATACTTGGCGAAACCTCTCATTCCATAAAAAGTTGCGAAAGTCGGCGGTGAAAGGAATCACAAATTGGTCTTACTGACTTGACTGAAATTGTTGGAAACTATAAGGCCGTGCACGTAAACCAATTCCTATCACCTACATTACCACAGCAATAAAGTTATAAATTATCCCATTACCCCATATCGCGATATGTATCGTATCGTGACCCTAGTATCACGATATGTATCGTATCGTGACACTTGTATCACGATATGTATCGTATTGTGACACTTGTATTGTGATATTTATCGTATCGTGACCCTTGTATCACGATATGTATCGTATCGTGACACTTGTATCACGATATGTATCGTATTGTGACACTTGTATTGTGATATTTATCGTATCGTGACCCTTGTATCACGATATGTATCGTATTGTGACACTTGTATTGTGATATGTATCGTATCGTGAGACTTGTATCACGATATGTATCGTATTGTGACACTTGTATTGTGATATGTATCGTATCGTGAGACTTGTATCACGATATGTATCGTATTGTGACACTTGTATCACGATATGTATCGTATTGTGACACTTGTATTGTGATATGTATCGTATCGTGAGACTTGTATCACGATATGTATCGTATTGTGACACTTGTATTGTGATATGTATCGTATCGTGAGACTTGTATCACGATATGTATCGTATTGTGACACTTGTATTGTGATATGTATCGTATCGTGAGACTTGTATCACGATGTGTATCGTATTGTGACACTTGTATTGTGATATGTATCGTATCGTGAGACTTGTATCACGATATGTATCGTATTGTGACACTTGTATTGTGATATGTATCGTATCGTGAGACTTGTATCACGATATGTATCGTATTGTGACACTTGTATTGTGATATGTATCGTATCGCGAGACTTGTATCACGATATGTATCGTATTGTGACCCTTGTATCGCGATATGTATCGTATCGTGACACTTTTTCGCGATATGTATCGTATCGTGACCCTTGTATCCCGTAAGTAACGTATCGTGACGTGATTGGCGGTACCAAGCAATAGTAAGAACCATACTTAGTTTCCTATGATACAGTAAGACTACATGTCTACTTCAACTTATATTTGGCATGACTTTTTTTCAATTCGGTATAAATGAGATTTCCACTTATCCACCAGTAATTGCTCGAACATGATTCTTAATTCCTGATGATTTAACAGCGACATTATCTAGGCATGTTTTCCGACTTTGTATACCATGGTATATCCATCTATAGGTAGTCTCGAATACCTGTCCCCTAGCACCAGCAGAATAAATCACTATCAAAAAGTATACTTGCAATGGCCTGATTTTCTTTGACTCAAAAACTCATAAATAATGGATAACATGCATTTTAATAATCCTGTGAAATTCACAATTCTCAATTTAAATATTCATTACATAGAGAACGTTTTCATATTTTTCCCAAAACTCAAGAATTTCCAATACTTACCAGCAAAAGTGAAAGATATCCATAAGAGAACATATATATAGGTCAGCATGGTTGATGGCATCTACACTAGGTGTGCTAAGGACTGCTACACTAAAATTAACGCACCTCTAACATAAGACACTGTAGATATTTGCTTATAATCGGTCGGCCGTGTATATCCTATGAAAGGTTATATTCAAGAAGTGCCTTTATACGTTTGATAAATAGGGGCTCATTAAAAAAACACCGTATCCTATTTTTAGCTTTGTTATAGGGAAGCGGACACGAGTTTATTACAATACTATTATTTATTAAACGAGTTCTATAATGGTGTGTATTGAAATTTTGATCTTAAAATTTAAAAAAATGTAAACAGTAAATAAATCTTCAAGTCTATTAAAATTTGGTCACGATTTTTTATATTTTACCAAATTATAGAGTTAAGAGATTAGGGTGTTTTTGAGATGAGATAGATAAGTAATGAGTTAGGTTAGTTATGAAAGAAAGACGTCCGAAGAAATGAAATATAAATTAAAAACAAGCCACGCCTGAGAGTTGCTACAGAAATGGTTTGCACCCCTAATTGTACCCCAACTTTATTTTCAAAAAAAAAATGTAACAATCTGATTTTTGTACGTTCTTGACTCGAAATATGTGTCAAAATGCACAATAATCATTCAATTTTTCGAAAATTTTCTACCAAGAACCCACTCAGACGCTCCATCGGAGGCTAGACACCTCCACAGAGATACATTATTTTGAATTCAGCCTCGACAGTTATCCACCCATTAAGTCAGTCTGCAACCTATTTGTACCCCAAGTCACGTGTGTCTGCCGCCGCCGCTACAATTTGTAGGTCATCTTAAGAGGTAGTATACCTTTAAATCACACCAGAACAATCGGTTTATTTCTGCAAGTTACAACACCTTGCTACGTGGAGTCACACACACACACAAACACACAAAAACAATCTAGTCAAAATGTTTATATTGACGACAAGTCGTATTCTGAAATCTTTCAAAGTGGACAAAAAAACTTTGTAGTTTTAGTCTGTGAATAAACTGGAGTTACGTCCCTTCCTTGATAAAATTAAGCGTTGAACAAGGAGAGTCAAGCAAAGATATTTCTCTTTCCCTTCTTCACAATGTTTAGCTAGGACGAATTTCCTCTTATATCTTGATTACTGTAATCATAGGAAGTTACACTGAATGCTGATCAAGACAAACATAGTTTAATTTTTAATTTATTCGTGCAAATTATAGATGAACCACAATGCGGCAGTGCTGTCGATTAGCTTTCCTTCTTGAATCTTGATCGTGGTAGGGAGATAACTCGAATTATCCCTGAGTACACAGCTCATTTCAGTTTACCGACGTTTGTGCATCAGTTCTGCCACAATACAATAGTCACCTTAATTGTATCAGTGGATTGAACGCTAGCAAGTTCGGCCAATTAGAGACCTCGACAACAGAATGTAAATATAATGACTTATTGGACTTTCTGTGGAGGCCTCTAGCTGTATTCGCTAGCGTATGATCCAATCAAATCTAAGCATTTACAAAAATTACGTGATAAAAGGGAAGTGACTATTGCAGTCAAGGTATTAGCGGAAGCTTGGCATTGTGAAGATATTGTTTTTGTTGATGGCAAAAGTTTGTGTCTATCTGAATGAGATATCCAACTTAGCCTTAACCTTGCGTTTCGGCCGACCCTCGTATATTAACCTAAGTTAACCAAATAAACCGACAACACAACTTGTTGTTGTTAATGGTATAATTTTGTTTATATATAAAAACAAATTGCATTCTTCATTATTGTTTTGTATTGTTTATTATTACAAGATATGTACGGTAATGTAAAGTAGAAAATGACTGTATGTCTTATTAAGATAAATCGGTTTGTAGCGGAGGCTGTAGGACCTTGGATTATAGGGGGCCGCCGCCATTTTTTATTTATTTGAAACTGGAGGGGACAGGGGGCATAAATTTTTAAAATAAAGGCCTCAAATCCAGCATTAATGAAATTTGAAAATTCAATATTAGTACGTTTTTACAAAAAAAAAATGCATATTTTCACAAAAAATGTAATTGTGAGCCCTTGAGGTGGGGCTTGAAGCCGCCACTATCGGTTGGCCCAGTGAATCTACACGTTTCATTTTATGATTTTATACAGTTATTAATAATTAAACCTCACAATAATGGAGATATTTGATATCTTTTCAACAAACTAAAGCTTTACTTTGAAATACAACCATGCAGTTTTAAAGTTTCCTGTAAAAATTCTTATGTAAAAATTGCCCAGAAATGAAAGGTTGAAAAAGTGTTATGGTTTTTTCGGAGACACCTGATACACACTGTCTTTCTTATCATCAAACTATATAAAATGTATTTGTAGTATTAAAGGGATTGCAAAGAGGTTTTCTAAATTCTCTCGGAGTATGTCTATCAGGGATACTGATCGCATCAATTTACACCATTCCAATTTTCAATCGAATTTCCTGCAATTCCTTTAAAACTAATCACTGTTGCAATTCCCCGAGATATTACGAGCAGCTTTTGTGATGCGGTGTCGTCATAAAATGACTAGTTTTAGTCGCATTACAAGAATCACGTCGTCTGATTGAAAATTAGAATGATGTAAATTGATGCCATCAATGTCTCTGATACACATGAAATGTTAAGAAAACCTCTTTACTATCCCTTTAAGTTTATGATGTTAGCGATGATTGATGAGGTGTACATTAAACTACCCAAAAGAATCAGTTAAAGGTCGCTAGCCACGAAATATCAACATTAAAATAAATTAATACGATGTACACAGTATGCAGAATTCACAGCAATTATAACAGTAATAATTAATGAAAATATCCAATTGATTTTTACTGAAATGGTATATAAGAAATTTCTAATTATTTATTTCATATTCTGAACTCCAATGCCACTTATAGTATTTCTCACCATTATGTTTCGTTTCGTGTTTGCAGGTGACTCCTAGTGCCATCTATGATCTAACGATAGTGTAACACATCTCATGTTCTGGGTCATTTAATATTCAATCAATCAAATGCTCTGTTCAGTTTAAGATGTCCTGAGAGTGAGAGAGTTGATCTGCGATATCCATGCTTAAATCTTGGCTTATATTGTCTAACCAGTATTAATAATGTTTTGATTGGTCTGTATATATCATACTTTCCTTCGTCTGAACAGGATTTAAACAAACAATTTGTCACCGTAATAGCCTGCATATTTCCTTACTTTAAACTGTGATATTTTTAGTTAAAAATTGACTTCTATTGTTTAACCTCTTGTAAGTGTGATTTGAAAGGTATGCATTTTAATCAGATTGATTTTACCTATCACAATCTTACCTAGTAACCTCCTCTTGTACTCCTAAAAATAGTTCGATATATCCGCTTTTATTCCAGCTTCTGATGGATATTTTGCACACCAGTCAACCTATCTGAGGCTCGGTCTGTCATAAATAGTTGTTATTTAATAAATTACAAGAAATATGACTGTTTCTTTTTTTCTTTCAATTCAGGCAATTTAACTTTAAACAAGTGTTTTGATGGTCATTGAGCGACTTGTCGAGTTAAAGATTGATTGTCGAGTCGGTGAGTTAGTTGGCTGATCGTGATAGAAATCAACATCGTATTTTAGTGACACTTGGTTTTCAAAGTCTCTGGTAACTAACACAGTTTAGGTGTTATTATTTTTAACTTGTGTATAGTATTTTTGAATTTAGCTGTCAACACGTTGCGATGTTACTTCACGTAGTAATATTTGGATTTCTGTTGAAATATTGAAATATTCAGGGTGACCCTTGACGAATATTTTGTCGATAAAATTTACTTTGTATTTAAAAAGGTATCGAATTCAATATATATTTCAATTTTTGCAGTGATCTGGTCTAAAGTTATACGTGGATATTCTAGAGACTTATTGTTATAATTGTGAATATTCTACAGTACAGGCTTGTATATTATGTTTTTCACCAATGATTTGTTTTTGTGTATCGCTTCAATTCGTAGAATTCGTTACATGTGCTCCCAATAGTTTCTAATCTAAAACAGTGTATCGTTGTGAATTCTTGATTCAATGATTTTCTGTTGACAATTACTACGGATACCATCTTTAAATAGTGCATAAACATTTCCAAAGTTTATTCCACTTTTGTTTTTTTAAGATATTGTTACGATTCATTTTCCAGAAGTGAAATTTGGTATTTTGAAAGTTGTCCGAGTTGTCCTAAAAGAATATTTATATCTTGTGAAAGTGGTCTAAGTTATTTTGAAGGAGTACTTACTTAGATCTTTTGAAAGTGGCCCAAGTTGTCCTGTTTCCGTAACATTTCAGACAAAAATTTCATGTAACAAAAAGACTGAAGCTTTGGATCAATTAATCGTGTAAGATTCGTCTTCTGGATAGCGATTTCTATAGTTTTATGGAATATTTACAATTAACGTGAAGCATAACAACAATAGTTCTTGAATCTTGCTTCTGACTGATCACTGAATAAGTTTCTGAACTTCTGAAACAGTAGTGAATTTTGCCGTACACTCTCTACAGCTCCGATATTGACGATTCAAACACTGGATAATTTCATAGGCTCAAACTGGAATATACGTTCATGAAATGGTATGGGAATTGTAAATATCTGATCTGATTTCATCAACCACGTGATTCTGAAGACAGTCTGGAACTGTTATAACATCTAAAAGAATCTAAAAGAACAAGTCAGAAAATACCATGACTCCAGTGTATAGAAATACAACAGGGAATTGTTAAATAAAGTTTCTATGTCATGCGGATATACTCGTTTTTCTCAGCTATAACTTGTGTTCAATTCTTCCTCCAAATTCATTCGGGTAAGTTACATTTTTATAAAGCCCTATACTTAAGTTCATTTTCTTGCTGTGGCTCATCTACCATAGGGACTGTTAAAACCAAGTCCTAGGGCCCCATTCATCTTGTTGAGCTACTGGATACTTTAACTTCATAGTTAATAACATGATAACCTAAGTCTAAGTTGCCTGATAGCCGATGTTTTTCGGAAGAAAACCTAGTTGATGTCCTATCCTGTAAAGATAAAGTTTTCTAGTAACCTATATGACCTAGCTATGTTTTAACTTATATTTTGATGTGCTTCGCCATAATGTCCCTATGCTAAACTATGTAA